CGTACAGGTGCTGACGTGAAATATAAGAGATGCGGAATGAACAGTAATTGTAATTAAATGATTCATAGTGTTTGAAAGTCCATAAAACTTCAAATTCACCGGTAAGTACACCATAATTGTGACATTTCCAGTTGTATATGAGACCAACTTTGAACTTGTCAGCAGATTTCATGATAGAGGTGGTTCCGTTATTCACCAGGTGGGCTAGCAATATTCCGAGGATAGCGGCAATGTTTCAGTGCCTTCGTTTAAGGCAGTACCTTTGAAAAGAGAAGAAGACACAAGGAAACCGACAGAGAGGTGCAGAAGTATATAATAGGTGTTAATAATTCAAAACATATGTAAAAAAAACATGGGGCTCATCATTTTTTTTGTTTTTTTTTCATTTAAAAAATACTATTTCCCCCTGAGATTTTCTAGTGATGGAATTCTGGTCTTTCTTGCGAAAAGAAAAAAAAGTTTAAGTGAAAAAAAGATGATAATTTTACCTACTTATATAGGTTAAATAGGAGTTAAACACAAAAGTCAAAGTGCGTGAACTATGTAGAAGAAAAGCGAGGGCTTAATAATAACTACTGTTTTTCTGAAGTATACATTTAGGTGTCCTTCTGAAGTAGGGGACTCATACCATGTACTTGCATTCGAGGAGTTTGTTATTTAAACTTCAGCTTTAGGCAAATTTTCAACTTCTGTTGTCTTTTTTTTAAATTTTATTTATTCTCTTATTCTGCAGAAGCCATTCGAACTCAGGAGCCTTAGCAATAGAGTGCTGTCCCACAGATAAGGGTGGTTCTCATATGTCCCCACCATCATATCCGCTGACTAGCAATCACCACCCTCCCACCTTTTTTGTGCAAGGCCCTGGCAAAATGCTTCATTTTTTTTATATATCTTTTAATTTCTGTTATAATATGCCACAAACTTTTCTTTTTTTAAAAAAATATTTATTTGTCAACTCATTCGAAGTCATGGCATGAGTGACTACTTTCAGAAGACCGTCATGTATGTTTCATCTGTTACAGTATTTTGGAGAGGAACAATAATAAAAGTATAAGGAAAATAGACTATCAGAGTCTACATTTTAGATATAAACAAATGTAATTTCGGAAAACAGTGCATAATCATGCAGCATTAAACATATAAGTAGTAGTAATTTATAATATTTTGTTCCGAAAGATTTGACTACACAAGATTATAGTTATAGAACAGTAAGATAGGATTCATTACTATTTAGGACTCACCGTATAGTTGATTATTTAGACTACCAACATTCGGGCCTTAATTTGCGTATAGGCAGACAGTGCTAACAAGTAGCATTAGGCAGTCTCCAGAGACATTTTAATACCAGTCGTCTTCAGTTGATTTGCATCTGGAACTTGAGACTGAACTCTTAGCATGCTGAAATACTCATAATACCATGTTATCAGTGATATGTGAAAAATTTTTTTTTAATATTTGAATGAAGAAATAATTAAAATTTAAGGCTGATTGAGAATAGGTGACTGGGGTTGTGAAAACAATCATAGTGAAAGTAGAGTCAAACATAGAGATCACAGATTTCGGGAGCTAACAGTGAGGGTCAGTGGAGTGCCGTATTAGATCTCTGATTTTTAGTCTGTCACATACGCCTTCTAACCCGGTGTTGATAAAATATTTGTTCAGCAGAGATGAGAAGGTTTTTGGGGTAGGACTGTTTCTAATTTCAGTTGGAAGACGGTTCCAAATGCAGCGGTATCTGACAGTGAAAGAATTTGATCTGTACTTTGTATGACAGCGGGGCACTTCAAAAGATGAAGATTTATTTCTAAGGTTATATTTCTTAGGTGAACTAAAAGTAAATTCATTGTGGGGGAAATATATAAGCCCTTTAGCGATCCTAAATGTAATTTTTAGGTTAAACTTCAGTCGTCTGACCCATAAGGGTTCCAAGTCAAATATGTTACATCTGTCGTAGTAGGAAATGCAAAGATTTTCACCTACTAGACGTTTGGTAAACGCCCTTTGTAGGCTTTCCAATTTGCACCTGTCTTTTACGGAAACACTGTCCATGACAGGAGGACAAAATTCAAGTAAGGGCCTTATGCATAACTTGTACAGCATAATTTTGGATTCACACGCTTTAAAGTTTCGGAATAAAAACCCAAAAAGCCTTTTAACCTTTGATACTTGTAATTTAACGTATTCCGTTAGGCCAAATTCTGGAGTGTATTTTAGACCCAAGTCTGTTGTAAGCGGCAGACGAGGAATATGATTGTTGTGTAGGGAGATGGAAAGTTCGGATGAAATGCCTTTGGAGCATAGCACACCACATTTTTCAACGTTAAACTTCATTTTCCACGTGTTACACCACAATTGAACCCTATCAATATCATCCTGAATCCTATCAAATACACATGACACTTCATTTCTAAATGAGTGGTATACTATTTTGATGTCATCAGCAAATAGGAAAGGTCTGCCATGTCTAATAACGTCGCAAATATCATTGAAATATAACAGGAATAACAGTGGACCTAGAACACTACCTTGTATGAC